GAGCGCTCACTACCTATTTTAAATGTTTAGAATTATATTCCAAACGCAAAGATATCAAACATAGCATATCCTTGCCACTCAGGATGAAATAGACTGCTTCTCTCTTGTAGGGGCTAATATAGTGATGTAAGGTCTCGCGTGACTCATATTAAAATGATCCGAATATATACTTCATATTAATATTCCCAGTTCCTGCTGAAGTTTATGAATTTGTATGAAAAATTACTCATGTGGAATGTATGTTTTATGGCACACTCTATCTCTAATGGCCTAACAGGTCATGACTGACTGAGTTACTGTTTTACGATCGGGCAGAGAGAAAGTGGTTTTCAAGCAGACCCCCTGGAACCAGACTAATTAGTAGTTTACAGCCATGGAGCTCATCTAGCTGTGTTTTATTTAGGATAAGAGGCCCTTTTGACTTCTGTTCACTTACAGCCTCACATTCCATTCAGGAGGGAGGACAGGAGAGACAACCTGGCTGTGACATAAGATGTCTGTCACGTACAGTGTCCATGTGTTTATGGCGCACAATCGTCACATATGGGAGATAGAGCTGGTCTATGGGTCCTCGTTGAACCTCAGCCATGTGCTCCAGTGGCTGAGGTACATCGATGATATCCTAATGTGCTGGAATGGAACTGAAGACTGATTTAAGGAATTCTCTACTCAACTGAATCAGAATGACAGGAATATCAAATTGACGTTTTGTTACAACCATAATGAAATTTCCTTTTTGAACCTATTTGTATCAGTCAAGGAAAATCCGTTAATCACTGAGATGTTTAGTAAAGAGACCGCAGCAAACACCTTGTTACATGCTAGCAGCCATCACCCTGAATCTCTCAAACAAGGAATGCCAATGGGTTAGTTTCTCTGGATTCGTAGAAACTTTACGGAACAAACCCAATTTCGTTCTGAAGCCACACAGATGTTTCAAAGATTCAGGGAAGGAGAACATTGAGAGGCTAAATTTAGAGCTTTAAAAACAGATGAGATCTTTTAAAAAATAAAAGTAAAGATAATATCAAAGAACAAATGGGACCAGTCAGATTTATTACTAGGTTTGGTCAGCAGTGGCATGATGTCAGGAACATTCTACAAACTCATTGACATATCTTAACTGCTAACCCTACCATTGCAGACATAGTTGGTACTAGACCTCAAATGATTGCAAAAAGGACCTCCAATTTAAATGATATATTAGTACGTTCAGAATTCAAAAAGCATCCAAAAGACAATTAGTTAACAAAAATGTCAAGGGTGACAGGTATGTACCCTTGTGGCCCTTGCCAAGTTTGCCCCTTTTGTAGAGGAGTGTCAAGTGTTCACCAATGCGGACAAAACGGGGACCTTTGAAATTAAGAATTTCATCAATTGCTCAAGCAGCAAGGTCATATATATATGCTGGAATGTCCATGTGGGAAATATATATTCAAAAGAAAAAGGTCCTTGAGGGTTCACATTCATGAACATAAGACATATTAGTAATGATCACAGTAAAATTGAGAAAGAAAGGGAAAACCCTTTGGCCCAACACTTTAAGGAGATACACAGTGGATGGATGCAGGTTTAAAAGTAAAAGGGATATTCCTGTTAAATTTGTCATCTAGGAGAGGAGATTTTGATAAGGTTTTATTACAGAAAGAAAAATACTGGATTTATACATTGGGAACATTAATACCCAAGGGAATAAATACTGAACTAAACTTTAAAGTTTTCCTCAATTCTTCATTTCTCTCCCCCTTTTTTCCATTAAAATAACTAAGTATGGTTCCCTCTGAGAAGGATAAAAAGCACACTTAGTCATAGTACATGTTTCTCTTTTCTTGATTGCCTCCTTTCTATGACCCTTGGTTGGGTCTTTGCAGTCTATTTTAAAATGTTTTAGAATGTAATGACGGCTTCACAACACAAGAGGGTGCAATGACAGGTACACTACATAGGAGTTAAGGTAACGTAGGACTGTCCCCTGCCAGTTCTGACGAAGTTCGCGATGATTGGCGGACAAAATTCGTAAAACTAGTGATGTCATCACATCCGGAAATTACATATGCAGGTGTCTCCATACTGGATTTCACATGGCTGGTCGGAAGCCAAGTTACACGGCATGCCACATTGAAGTAACAGTTATTCCTGTTAAGCACCAGGAAAGCACATTACAAGTAGCGATCTGTGGCAGTGGGAACAGCTCTACACTTGAAAGTGAAACATTTATATCATCAAGTGGATTTATTGCAGTGCTTTGACCGGAGGTGGCAGTAAGTGTCTATTCCAACTGAACCAATACACTCAGCTATGGTTTCATGCTTTAACCACCATTATCCTTGTTCAATGTGTACTGCATTGGACTTCCTTCTCTTTACATATACATGCTTATCCTTTCCTTAACGAGCTGTTCAAACTCCTCAATTTGAGCAGACACTCTGAATTTACATCACTGCTTTGTCCGCTCTGAGCTTCCATCTACAGTATATGTTGCCTGTTTTGCATTATCTGATAGATTTTTCTATATCACTGCTTTGTTCCCCATGATGCCTCATTATCCATGATTGGAGAAGGTTACTAGCAGTATGAACTAGTACTGAGACTTCAGTATTCACCATCTTTATGTTGTCTCACATTGCAGCAATTGGATGCAGATGTTTTGAAGATGATTACATTGGTATGTCATTGACTGCATGGGGGCTTGAATGATATATTTTGATGTGAACCCATTCATGCAAAACTTACTATTAAGTTCTATGTACTCTTCATTGCTTCACCAGCGATTGCTCGTGTCATTTAGTCCCCACGCTAAAGTTATGCATGTGATTATACTTAGATTTCCAAGCCAATTTGAGGCATAATACTGACCGCCAGCTACATACTCAGTATGGATATATTCTTTTAATACACCATTTTTATTGCTTTTGACTGTAGTTTGTATGTCCACCTTGATAGAGCAATGTTCTTCAAATGATCTTTTTGATTATACACAGTTTTTTTGCAACCAATTTAATGCTTACTCTACTCTGCTTGGGTAATCACAATTACCGACTACACACAGTTTGTTCTTTACAGCTGTTTTTTATTTAGTTATCTTTTTTCGGTTTATACCCACATCAATACCTATGGTGAGACAGAGAACTGATGTTCAGGTCTATACCTATATTTGTGGCTTATTTTTGATTTACCCTCTCACTGTACCCACTGTCACAATATTAAAAACAAGCGTAGCTGTGCTGGGCTTCACCCACACAGCTACATCGTTTATTCACACAACTCTTGAATGAACAAGTCCTATCTGCTATTACATCAGACGGATTGTAGTTCTCAATGAGCTGCAAGGGTGCTGATGAGCACCCTTGTAGTTCATTGATTCTTCCTGCAATTGAATAACTGCTCATATGGGATGTACGGACAGACAGCTATACTAAAAGTCCACAGGAGCCCGACATTGCACCCGTGGGTGCAATGCTTTACAGGCTGCAGTTTAAAAAACAAAATAAACTTTTTTTTTACCTGTCCCTCCTCATTGGCTGAGGCAGCAGCGGGAACCACTGGCTTCCACTGCTGTCAATCACAGCCAGTGAGCCAAAGAGTTGCCGCGCCGAGCAAATGGACACGCAGAGCAGTGGCTTGGGAAGCAAGCCTGCTTGGGTGCCCTCAGAGTAGGCTGCTTACTCTGGGGGCACCTGGCAGGAGGGAGGGGCCAGGAGCACCCGCGGGGGACCCAAGAAGAGGATCGGGGCTGCTCTGTGCAAAGCCACTGCAAAAAAAGAAGGTAAGCATGTGTTTTTTTTTTTTTTTTTTTTTTTTTTTTTAAATTGCCTTTAGTATCCCTTTAAAGTATATGTAAATTCTAGATAACATTTTGTGCATCAATGAAACAAGCACGGTCAAGTGTCAAAACTTTCAAATGAGTATTATGTATGGAATCAAATCAAGTTTAGCCCTCTTGGCCATCTGTTTGCTTTAATTATTGGCTGGAAGTCTGGGTCTATATGCTAGAGGAGATATGGGAGATATGAAGTATGTCATAACATTTATTTTTTTTTAACTATCTTAACAAGTTTCTCATGTCTCCTACCTGATAGGCTTAGCTCCCAATGAAATAACTGGTAAAAAAGTATCACTATGTAAACCATTGGAAATTTACTGATCAAATGATACATTATTTAAAGAACAGGTTCACGTTTTTTTTGGTGCATGTTACACCCATATTTAAGGTGTAACATGCTCCAGACCTGCCGCCTCTCAAATTGGGTATTATATAGTGTTCATGTGCACCACAATTCATTTTGTATTTGTGCTTTTTTTTTCTTTTTTTTTTTTAATTTGCATATAGATGCGTAAATATCGTGTGGCATAAACTGCAACATTTCAGAGCTGATTCACACATGTACAGTGTGGATTGAAGCTCAGGTTTCGCAGCTAAGTGACACAGTAGTTGTTCAGGAGTTCAGGTCAGGATTACATCAGGTACAGGTCAGGATTTTATTCTGTTCCCACGTGTGCGGTGTAGAAACAGTTCCCAAGTCAATAGCCTGTAATCCGCACCTGAACCAGACCACAATGGTCACAAATAGTACAGGTCGTTTTCAATCCGCACTGCCAATGCACCAGATGTGTGAACAGGCACCATAGGAAGCAATGTTATTTCACATGTCATGCGCTTTGGTATCGGTTCAAACCACATCCAATCTGTCTGTATGTGAACCGGCACTCAAAATTCCTTTTTTTAATTGCACTAAATAAGTATTCGTTCAGAAAGGTTCCCCTTCCAAAGCTCTTTTACTGATTTTAGGTGCCTCAATTCTTTATTTCTTCTGCAGGTAAAATCTAGTATGGGCATATGTAAAATAAAATTGAATGCTAATATATGAAAGCATACATACATGTCTAAAGGTTTCATTCCTAAAGTCATTTTTATAGTAACTACTAACTTGCTGTCATATGATAGTCTAGCCCAATAAAATAAAACCTCATTTAGATTTGTTCTTACTTTGCAGTGAAACATGTTTTGGAAGTTTGACCTGCATACAAGTTCACATGTGGACACCCTTCTAGAAAGGGAAAACGTTACTCTTTTCGAACTACTTGATGAAGAGGATGTGTTGCAAGAGTGCAAAGTAGTCAATCGCAAGCTTGTGCAATTCCTTGTCCAGCCTCAGCACATGGAGGAACTGGTGACCTGCATCACACAGGAGCCATCCAGTGACATGGATGAAAAACTGCGATATAAGTAAGCATGATTTACTGATGCTTTAGAAGTCCTCATCTTCTCAAATCTAACACATGACTGTCTGCTTTGATATTGTCAAACCCTAGCTTTGTTCAAGAACTGCTCTAGGAAAACTTTTTTTTAACTGGTTACAAAGAGTTACATTTCAGGAGGTATATGCCTGTTATCCACAATTTACACTTTCATTGAGCATGGATGGTATAGTTGTCCTGTCATTGGTTTGCCTCACCTCTCCTCTTCTCTGGTCACAGAAAGCTTTGTATTCTGTGAACCCACTCATAAAACAATGAAGCGTTCTGTAAATGGACAGGAAAAGGAGGCTGCTTTGTAGGAGAGCTGCAAGACTGCTGTTATGAGCGTTGAAAATATAGGGAAAGCTGTATTGTTGGTGCTCACTAAAAGCATAAATTGTAAATAATGGGGAGGTTACATACACCTCCTGAGATTTAACAATTTGTAACCCAGCACTTGTGTACTCTCTTTCACAAGAGCCTGAATGGTAAGCTAGTGATTTGTAAGTGGTCACTGTTGGTTAATTTGACAATGGAGTCAGACCATGGCAAATCATAGTTTATGTGGATATAGCATGTATGTTGCTAGTTTAAAGTTGTGCTGGGCTCATTTAAATATCCCCATTTATACAATGATGTCCCTTTTTTAAAATGTGACCCAAAAAGTGTGCAATGTGCTCTTCAGTGCTCAATCTTGATGTGCAGTTCCATTTGAGTCCTGCATAGAAACTATTGGCACACACCACCACTCAGTGTTCCTTTCCCAATTTATAAATAAAATGGACTCTCTCACCTTAATGTGGTTGTAAAGGCTAAAGATGTTTTTACCTTCATGCATTCTATACATGAAAGTAAAAAAAGTGTGTGCTGCTCTCCCCACATCCCCCCAATAACTTTCCTGATCTTGATCCAGCGTTGTGTATGGGAGCCTCAGCTCTCCCTGTTGGCTCTCTCTTCATTGGCTGAAAACGCAGGATTGGGAGCCATTGGCTGTCAATTACAGCCAGATAGGAGCGGGGCTCTGGAGCAAGCGAGTATGCACGAGTGCTCTCAGAGCAGGCGGCTTGATCTAGTGGCACTCAGCAGGGGGGAGGGGCTTGGAGAGCCAGTGGTGGACCCAAGGAATATCAGGGCTGCTGTGTACAAAACCATTGCACAAAGCAGGCAAGTATGACATGTTTGTTATTTAAAGAATAATAAAATAAAAATCAGCCTTTAATATCACTTTAAATGGTGGGACCTGGTTACCATATGTCCATACTGCACCTTTCCTCATTAAGGGTATATGTAATAGCACTGCCTTTGTCTCCTCCACTGCACAGTTGGTCCTATTAGCACCCCTTCCCTTTAAAAGAGAAGTAGGGGATTGCTTTTTTTCCCCCCCAATTATACTTACCTAGGTGGATGCTGCATCTGTCCCCTGCCAGCTCTGTGTGGGAACTCAGCGATCACGACTGCTAAGTTATTATTAGTATTATTATACAGTATTTATAAAGCACCAACAGTTCGCTCAGTGCTGTACATTACAGTGGGAGACAGAACATGCGACAGTACGATAATACAATGTGATACACGAGGGGTTCGAGGGCCCTGCTCTTTCGAGCTTACAATCTAGGAGGGAGGGGATAGCGGTACAGGAGGAAATGGCTGTGGGGGATGGAGTGGTAGGAAGAGTGGAGGAGGTTGGCAATTAGCAGGGGGTGGGGTAGGCTTCCCTGAAGAGGTGGGTTTTCAGGGTGCGCATAAAGGAGAGGAGAGTAGGTGATAGCCTGATGGATTGTGGTAGGGCGTTCCAGAGGATGGGAGACGCCCTGGAAAAGTCCTGGAGGCGGGCATGGGAGGAGGAGACCAGGGAACTAGAGAGAAGGAGGTCTTGTGAGGAGCGGAGTGTGCGTGTTGGGTGTTATTTAGATATTAGGTCAGTGATGTAGTTTGGGGCAGTATGATGGACAGCTTTGTACTTCAGTGTTAAGATTTTGAATTTGATCCGTTGGGCAATCGGAAGCCAGTGGAGGGATTGGCAGAGGGGGGTGGCGGAAACGGAGCTGTTGTTAAGGTGGATGAGTCTGGCTGCCGTATTCAGGATCGACTGAAGCGGGGATAGCCTGTGGCGAGGCAGGCCAGCAAGGAGGGAGTTGTAGTAATCGAGTTGTGATATGATGAGGGAGTGGGTGAGCTGTTTAGTGGTTTCCGGGGTTAGGAACGTGCGGATTTTGTCAATGTTGCGGAGGTGGAGTCTGCATGAGTTTGTTAGTGATTGGACTTGGGGCTGGAAGGATAGATTGGAATCAAGTATGACCCCAAGTACTCTGGCTTGTGGGGCGGGCCTGATGGTGGCATTGTTGGACGTGATGGAGAAGTCAGTGGGGGGTGGTGTGCGGGCAGGGGGGAAGACGAGGAGCTCGGTTTTGGAGAGGTTCAGTTTAAGGTTCAGTCTGATATGTCGTTCAGTAGGCTTGTGATTCGGGCGGAGACTGAGGGGTTGAGGTGCGGGGTGGAGAGATAGATTTGTGTGTCGTCGGCATAGAGGGGATAGTTGAAGCCATGAGAGTGTATGAGTTGGCCAAGGGAGGAGGTGTAGATGGAGAAGAGAAGGGGCCCGAGGACAGAGCCTTGAGGGACCCCAACAGTGAGGGGGAGGTGGTAGCGTTATAGGTACCGCTGAAGGAGCGTTGATAGGTAGGACGAGAGCCAGGAGAGGGCGGAGTCTCTGAGGCCAAGGGAGTGTAGCTTTTTGAGGAGGAGGGGGTGGTCGACTGTGTCGAAGGTCGAGGAGTAGGAGCACTGAGTAGTGGATGTTAGCTTTGGCGGTTAGCAGGTCGTTGGATAGTTTGAGTAAGGCAGTTTCGGTGGAGTGTAGGGGACGGAAGCCAAACAGTAGGGAATCGAGGAGGTTGTTGTCGTTGAGGTGGGAGCTTAGGCGATTGTAGACTAATCGTTCAAGGAGTTTGGATGTAAATGGCAGCAGGGAGATGGGTCTAAAGTTGTTCGGGTCATTGGGGTCCAGGGAGGGCATTTTAAGTATAGGGGTGATATGCGTGTGCTTCAGAGGGGAGGGGAATGCGCCGGAAGAGAGGGAGAGATTAAAGATGTGGGTGAGGGAGCGTAGGATGGAGGAGGAGGGAGGTCGTAGGAGTTGTGAGGGGATAGGGTCGAGGGGGTAGGTGGTGAGGCGGGCATTAGAGAAGACCTTGGTAACTTCCTCGATGGTAGTAAGGTTGGAGTGGAGTGTGGAGGGGGCTTCAGTGTGAGGAATGTTAGGTGGGGTGGAGGTCAGAACAGTGGTGAGGCCGAGGGAGAGGGTTGATGGGGGGGTTTGCTGTGTGAGAGGGGACGGGTGGGGGAAGAAGTTTGAGCAGCGGCGATGTCCCTGCAAATAGTGTCGATTTTGTTTTTTAAATGATTGACAATCTCAGTGGCGGTCAGTGAGGTGCTGGGTGGAGGTGGGGGTGGAGAGAGTAGGGAGTTAAAGGTGGAGAAGAGCCGGCGAGGATTGGAGGAGAGGGTCTTGATGAGGGTCAGGAAGTAGACTTGTTTGGCAGCGTGGAGGGAGGAGGTGTAGGTGTGGAAAAAAAAAAAGAGTAGAGCACAATCTTCTCTCTAACCTTCCAGCCCTCCCACAGGCAGGCATCCCAGGTCTCTGGGGAACACACAGAGCCACAAGTCTTTAGAAGCAGAGCTAGACTGTGAAGCCAAAACTCTTTGATCTTTCTTGAAGAAATATGGGGTCCATGTTTTCTGATATCTCTCTCCCTGTTCCTTGAGCATCCTAGTCATGCTCTCCATCTCCTGAACCTCATCAATGCGAGCCAGCCAATGTGTCTTTGTAGGGGGTAGCAGATTCTTCCATGATGCTGGAATACAGGCTTTTGCTGCATTGAGGAGGTGTTTCAAGAGAGAACGCTTGTATCTTTTGTTTGACATGGGTGTGTCAAGAAGAAAGGCTGCAGGATTTCCTCCAAGAGATACTTCCCTCTGCGTGTATATTGTCTGTTCCACCATAGACCAGAAATCCCTCAGCTTAGGACACTCCCAAACAATATGGAGTAATGAGCCATCGGGAGCCTGGCATCGCCAGCAGAGGTTCGGGACCTGCGATGAAGTACCTCTGGCGTCCTGTACCACCTGGTAAGGAGCTTATAACCCCCCTCCTGGTATTTACTAGCTAGGGAGGCCCTGTGGGCGAAATATATAATCCTGTCCCTCTGTTTCTGAGAAAAGGTAACGTTCAAATCCTTCTCCCACTTTCATAAGAATGGTAACTCGGTCGGGGCTTCAGATGTTATCAGAGAAGAGTGGAAATGAAAAAGGGAATGCCTTAAGGGTTCACCTGACAAAGATTCTCAGAGGGAGATAGCTCCCTTATAGTAGTTTGTTTCCTGGTGAGAGAACGTAGGAACGCACCTAATTGTGCTTGTCTCAGAAAATCAAGATTTGCCAAGAAAGCCACTGTCAACTCCTGAGAAGACATGAGGCGACCATTTCTGGAGAATTGAATCAACCGGAAACAGCCGTTATGAAAATAAAATACCAGACATGAAGCTTGCTGTGCTTAAAATAGGCATCAAGGGACTCAGATCCAGTTAGAAGGTGATGGCTTTAAATACCAGAGGATGTTTTCTGGCAGATAAAGACCGAGAAGACCAAGGATGCCAGGGGAGGCCAGATAGAGGCAGCTCATCTGAAGACTGTTCCAGGTCTACCCATAACTTTGCTATGTGTGTCACACACCAATCTACCACCCTAGCGAGATGTGCTGCTTCATGATACTTCACTGGATCCGGTAAACCCGCTCCACCTCTCACTTTGGGCAAAGAAAGGATCTCCCTCCGAAGCCATTCGGTGCAAACCCCCCCCCCCCCAGACAAAGCTGAGAAAAACAGAACACAACCGAAGCAGAAAACCGGGCAGGAGTCGTAATTAAGTCTTGGCATAATATTCATTTTTAAAATATTGATGTGTCCGAACCACGTGAAGACCTCTGTATCC